GGCGCTTATTTGCGAGAAGGAATCGCTGAGGACAAAGCGGTGGTGACCGCTCCTGTTCCCACTGACAGTCACAGCTGCCGATGCCCTCAGCACAGCTCAACACAGCACAACACAGCACAGCTCAGCACAGCACAGCTCAACACAGCACAGCACAGCTCAGCTCAACACAGCACAGCTCAACACAGCACAGCTCAACACAGCACAACACAGCTCAGCTCAACACAGCACAGCACAGCTCAACACAGCACAACACAGCTCAGCTCAACACAGCACAGCTCAACACAGCACAACACAGCTCAACACAGCTCAGGGAGCAGCGCCTGGCGGCTCGGGCAGAGGTGCTGCACGTTGAGAGCGGCGGCTGTGCCCCTGGTCTGGGGAGAGGGTGAGAGCTCCTGTCTGTCTGTCTGTCTCTGTCTGTCTGTGTGTCTGTCTGTGTGTCTGTCTCTGTCTGTCTGTGTCTGTGTCCGTGACAGCCACGAAACAGCAGCCGTGTGGAGGGGAGGCAGCGGCTCACACAGGCACAGGGTCTCTGCGTTACATCGTCTGTCACTGACTGGGGGCAGTGACGGGAGGGGCGAGGGTTATGTATAATGGCGCGGGGTGTGGGGGGGGTCAGAGGGTGTGTGTGTGTGTGGGGGGGGGTCAGTGGGTGTGTGTGGGGGGGGGGTCAGTGGGTGTGTGTGTGTGTGTGGGGGGGGTAGTGTGTGTGTGGGGGGGGTCAGTGGGTGTGTGTGGGGGTCAGTGTGTGTGTGGAGGGGTCAGTGTGTGTGGGTGAGGTCAGTGTGTGTGTGGGGGGGTCAGTGTGTGTGTGGGGGAGGTCAGTGTGTGTGGGGAGGGGTCAGTGTGTGTGGGGGAGGGGTCAGTATGTGTGGGGGGGTCAGTGTGTGGGGGAGGGTCAGTGTGTGTGGGTGAGGTCAGTGTGTGTGTGGGTGAGGTCAGTGTGTGTGGGGAGGGGTCAGTGTGTGTGGGGGAGGGGTCAGTATGTGTGGGGGGGCAGTGTGTGGGGGGGGTCAGTGTGTGGGGGTGAGGGTCAGTGTGTGTGGGGGTGATGGTCAGTGTGTGTGTGGAGGGGTCAGTGTGTGTGGGGGAGGGGTCAGTATGTGTGAGGGGGGGCAGTGTGTGGGGGGGGGTCAGTGTGTGGGGGTGAGGGTCAGTGTGTGGGGGTGAGGGTCAGTGTGTGTGGGGGGGGGTCAGTGTGTGTGGGGGTGAGGGTCAGTGTGTGTGGGGGGGGTCAGTGTGTGGGGGGGGGTCAGTGGGTGTGTGGGGGTTCAGTGTGCGTGTGAGAGGGGGTCAGTGTGTGTGGGTTCAGTGTGTGTGTGTGAGGGGGTTCAGTGTGTGTGAGCGGGGGTCAGTGTGTGTGTGGGGGGTTCAGTGTGTGTGTGTGAGGGGGTTCAGTGTGTGTGGGTTCAGTGTGTGTGGGTTCAGTGTGTGTGTGTGAGCGGGGGTCAGTGTGTGTGAGCGGGGGTCAGTGTGTGTGAGCGGGGGTCAGTGTGTGTGAGCGGGGGTCAGTGTGTGTGAGCGGGGGTCAGTGTGTGTGAGCGGGGGTCAGTGTGTGTGAGCGGGGGTCAGTGTGTGTGAGCGGGGGTCAGTGTGTGTGAGCGGGGGTCAGTGTGTGTGAGCGGGGATCAGTGTGTGTGGGGTCAGTGTTTCTGTGTGGGGTGGGTTCAGTGTGTGTGTGAGGATGGGGAATGTGTGTGGAGGGAGTGTCGCTCTGTGTGTTGGGTTCTGTGTGTGTGGCGGGAAGGTTCTGTGTGTGTGGGGGAGGGATCTGTGTGCGTGGGGGAGGGGTCTTGTGTTGGGGGAGGGGGTCTGTGTGAGAGGGCGGGAGTGGTCTGTGTGGGGGGAGGGATCTAAGTCGGGAGGGTTCTGTGTATGGGTGGAGGGGTCTGTGTGAGGGGGGGAGGGGTCTTGTGTGGGGGAGGGGTCTGGGTTGTGGGGCAGGGTCTGTGAGCAGGAGGGGTCTGTGATGTGGCGGAGGGTTCTGTGGTGGCGGAGGGCTCTGTGTTTGGGGGGATCATTGCTGTGTGTGTGTTTGGGGGGATCATTGCTGTGTGTGTGTTTGGGGGAATCATTGCTGTGTGTGTGTTTGGGGGGATCATTGCTGTGTGTGTGTTTGGGGGGGATCATTGCTGTGTGTGTGTTTGGGGGGGATCATTGCTGTGTGTGTGTTTGGGGGGGATCATTGCTGTTGGTGTTTTGTGTGTTTGCGGGATCATTGCTGGGTGTTCCTGACCATGTGTGACCAGGGCTCCCTCTGCCTCCTCGTCCTCCTCGACCTCTCCGCTGCCTTTGACACTGTGGACCATGCAATCCTCCTCCATCGCCTCTCCTCCCACCTCAAACTTCAAGGTTCTGTCCTTGACTGGTTCAGGTCCTACCTTTCACACCGTCTCCACTTCGTCACAGCAAATGGCTCCCGCACCATCTTGTGCAGTGTTCCTCAGGGCTCTGTCCTCGGTCCCCTCCTCTTCACCCTCTAAATGCTCCCCCTTGGTGACATCATCCACAAACATGGGGTAAATTTCCACATGTAAGCAGATGACACCCAACTCTACCTCTCTGCCTCAACTCCCGGACGACTGGCGTCCTGACCGACTGCCTGTCCGACATCAAGTCCTGAACGAGTGACAGCTTTCTCCAACTCAACGTCAGCAAGACCAAGGCTCTCCTGATTGGCTCGCACCAGCGCCTCCGCACCTCAGGCGCCGGCAGCATCAGCCTCCACGGCTGCACACTCAACCTCACTAAGCCAGTCAGGAGCCTGGGTATCTTGTTTGACACTGTACTGTCCTTCTTCCTGATAAAATAATAATAATCCTTGCATTTGATATAGCGCTTTTCACGTCGGAAGGACGTCCCAAAGCGCTTCACAGAACACACTGTAAAGTGAATTGACTATATATTTGTGGGCGAACGCAGCAGCCAATTGCGCACAGCAATGTCCCACAAACAGTCGTAGATTGAAAATGACCAATTTATTATTTTTTTTGTTTTTTTTGGAGGGATTTTTATTAGGCGTGTGGAGTAAGGAAACTTGCCCAAGGTATCGCCCTGATATCCGCGCCATGACCGGCACTGCCTACTAGCACCTCCGCAACATTGCCAGACTCCGCAACTGCCTCACCCCTCAGGCTGCCGAAACCCTCACCCACGCACTCGTCACATCAAGGCTCAATTATGGAAATTCTCTCCTCATCGGCCTTCCCAACTCTTCCCTTCACAAGCTGCAGATCATCCAAAACTCCGCAGCTCGTGTACTCTCATGCACCAGGCTCCATGACCCCATCACTTCCACCCTCACCCGACTCCACTGGTTCCCCATCCCCAGAGGATCGAATTCAAGATCCTCGTCCTCACTTACAAGGCCATCCATGGCCTTGCCCCCTCCTACCTCTCTGACCTGCTGACTCCCTACCAACCTGCCTGCTTCCTCCATTCAGCGAGCTCCGCCTGCTCCATGTCTCACACCGCTCCCCCATGCTCGCGTCCTGACCCCTGACTGTTCATCCTCCCGACGTGAAAGGCGCTCTATAAACATAATTCTGATGTTGTGGTGGTGTTGTCATTGCAATGTGTGAGTGTGTGTCTAGTGGATGTCGGGGGGGGGTGCTCATTGCTGTGTGTGTGTTTGGGGTGGGGTCATTGCTCTGTGTGTGTGTTTGAGGGATCATTGCTCCTGTGTATGTTTTTTTGGGGGGGTTCATTGATCTGTGTGTATGTTTGGGGAGGTTATTGTGTGTGTGTTTGGGGGGTCATTTCAGTGTGTGTGCACACAGCATACATGCATGCATTCATAACATGGAGGCTTGACTATTGAAACTCTGCTTATCGGCCTCCCCAACTCCTCCCTCCACAGGCTGCAGATCATCCAGAACTCTGCAGCCCGTGTCCTCTCCCTCACGAGGCTCCGTGAACCTATCACCCCCATCCTCGCCCGGCTCCACTGGCTTCCCATCACACACAGGCTTTTCATCAAGCTCCCCCCCACCTCTACAACTTCCTACAATCCTGCCTGCTCCCTCCGCTCAGCGGGCTCCGGCCTGCTTCACGTCCCCTGCCCCATCATTGGCAGGCGGGCCTTCAGCCACTCTGCCCCCACCCTCTGGAACTCCATCCCGCAGACCCTCCACCTCGCCCCCTCCCTCGCCACCTTCAAGACCTATTTCAAGACCCTCCTCTTCGACCGTGCTTTCAATAATCCTCCTTCCGTCCCTGCCCTCCACCCTCCCCAATCCCGTCCCCCAGCTCAGATCCGCAACACTGACTGTCCAGTGCCTTGGGACGTCTTCCTGACGTAAAAGGCACTGTACAAATGAAATTTTGTTGGTGTGTGTATTTGGGGCAATCATTGCTCTTGTGTTTGTTTGGAGGTGGGGAATCATTGTGGAGTCCTGTAGTGGTTAGAGCACTCACTTTGCAAGCGAGAGACCTGAGTTCAATTCCAGGCAGCGCAAAACCTTGGGCAAGTTTCCTTACTCCACACGCCTAATAATAATCCCTCCAAAACAAAACAATAATAAATTGGTCATTTTCAATCTACGACTGTTTGTGGGACATTGCTGTGCGCAATTGGCTGCCGCGTTCGCCCACAAATATGCAGTCAATTCACTTTACAGTGTGTTCTGTGAAGCGCTTTGGGACGTCCTCCCGACGTGAAAAGCGCTATATCAATTGCAAGGATTATTATTATTATTGCTGTGGGTGTGTGTGTGTGTGTATTATTATTATTATTGTTTGGGGGTGTTATTGCTGTGTGTGGGGTGTGGGGGGGAGGGGATGAGGGGTGTCAATGCTGTGTTTGCCAGCTGCACGTTGCACTGGGAGGTGATGGGAATGAAGAGGGGGGGGTGACGGGGGAGACAGACAAGTGCCAGTCAGTGATGAGCTGCACTGAGACACCAGCAGCTGCTCCCTGGGCACAGCGCAGCTCATTCACACTGTGATGGACAGCCCACAGCCACAGCCCACAGCCTACTCTCTTTGCTGTGGAGGCGGTGGGGGGTGGGGGCTGGTGTGGGAGAGAGGGCAAGGCTGGCCGACACTGACAGTCGCTGTGGCAATGCATCGCAGGAGGAGGTGGCAGTAAGTCTCGGTGGGTGCCCCTTTGAGGCAGTTTCTGTGTATAATATTCCGCGTGGAGTGAGGAGACTCGACAGGGTTTGGTGTGTGAGATAAATCAATGATAGTGGCGCCATCGGGAACGATCACTGTGAAACGCTTCCCTCTTTTGCATAGATTTGTAAATGTTTTTTAAAAGCTTGTGCAATGCTCTGTTATACTGGGGGTGGGGGGGGTGAGATGATCTGTGAAAGGGTCGTCTCTTGGTTCATATCAGTAAAGAGCTCGCACTGTGGTTATTACACTGAGGTGTGAATCACCCGACATTGATACAGTGAGAAGGGACCCGGTGGGTGTGGTGGAATTGAGGAAAGAAACAGAGCAAACAGCTGGAGACAGGAAAAACCAGTCGAGGGAGAAAGGGAAATGTGCAAGCAAAGAAATGAGGTATATCCTAGTGAGAGAGCATGTCAGGTCAGCCACATCTAAAAATAAACCGAAGAGGGGAAATCAGAAAGAAAGGGCTACAAAGATTGACTGGTAATCGTATATCTTACTGCAAATAGCAAAGGGAGGTTTGTGTATGCAAATTGAGTCGTTCTATTAATAAAAAACGACTTGCATTTTTCATAGCACCTGTGTCGAAATATCTCAAAGGTCTTCAGAATCATTAATGTTGTGTTGCTCAGGTTTTGCAAGATGTACTGTACGTGGAATGCAGTGGCGGCTAATTATATCCTTCCAGATGTCTCCCTGGTGTTTCCTGAAGGGGTCGTGAAGGAGGATGATTCCTTTCAGATCAGTTCAGGGTCAGAGATCATTTCTTAATGTGCGAGTCTTAATGGAAATTTTCAACAGGCTGATCAAGTGAAGGCAGATCACAGCTAAACCCAATTAGGATTGAGAGGAGAAATGTGACTTTCCCCTCCATCCCCTTCCTGGTGCCCCACTCCACAGCTTGTTCAAAATAATTTACCAATATGTAGCAGTTCCACCTCCCCACTCCCCCTAACTACATTGGGTGGTGCAATTCAACCATGCATGACTTCAATAAATAGCTTGTGTGCAGAGGTACCTTTTGTTCTCAATGCAATCCAGTTCTCGTTTTTTTGAAAATATATTTATAAATATAATATTTAGTACAACAGAAATCCAAAACAAACACAACATCTTCTGTTACAATATGTTCCCTTTTCTCCTGATACAAAACACATTCCGTTGTTTATGGTACATTCCTTCCCCACACAGAGATTTTTCGGTACGCTCCCTTTAACACAGTCGGGAGTCACTCCTGTGTACACCACACGCACACAGCCTGATAAGGCACACTTGCCGCTTTTGGAAGGCGCCCAATGTGCCCCGTACACCCACATGTTTACCGACACATTTTTGGGATGCTCTTTGGTTACATCTCTAGCGTCCTTCTGTACCCTTACTTCAGTCAGTTTTGGGTGAGCTTGTGGGCTACCTGGTGGGTGCACCCCGAGCGGGTTGTGTCAGAGTGGCTCCTGCTGGGGTCAGGCCCCATCTGGCCTTTGCTGTGGTTGAGCCGAACTTCAGCTTGTCCCTCAGTATATAGTCCCTGATCCTAGTGTGTGGGAGCCTGACGCAGGCCTTACCGTCCCCTCGTTCTGCCAGAAGAACACCTAGTTTCTGGAATGCTTTACCGAGTTTATGATTATCCGGGCACACTCGATGTGGGTTTCGCTGTGAGAGCCCGGGAAGAGTCGTACAGCACCGAGTACTGTGACAGCGGGTCGCCAGGGACAAACCACGAGACAATCTAGTCCCATCTTTTTCCAAACCGCCTATGCGAAACAACACTCCAGGAAGAGATGGACCACGGTCTTCTGGCCTCTGCAGCCGGCCCAAGGGCAACTTGCTGACTGGCCCAGACCTCGATCATGCATGAAAGCCCTGAGGGGGAGGGCCCTTTTATTGCCAGCCAGGCCATGACCTGATGGTTGTTGGTCAGGGCCGGTGACGAGGGGTTTTGCCAGGTGTAGCTGGCCTTCACTGCAGGGTACCTCCCGATCGGGTCTGCCCTCTACCCCTTTTGAACTGTTTGGACTACCTGCCGCGCGGACCACTCAGTGATTGTGCGGGGGACTGGGATGATGTTCTTCAGAAATTTCTCAACATAAGATAAGAGGTTCGGCACACAGCCACTGTGTGGAACATTTTGAAGCAGTTCTGCCTGACCCACTCTTCTTAGCACTGGGTACAGGTAGAAGCCCGCACGAAGCAGCATTTGTTGCTGGCGTAGCGGGGCACCAGGCACAGCCTCAGGCAGCTACCCACAAAGTTTTGCCATGAGGATCAGGGTTACGTTATGGACCCCTTTTCCGGGGTTTTGTGTATCACATGTCTGTGGACACGATCCATCTTGGACCCCCAGATCAATTGGAGGACCTCTCTGGTGACTCTGGTGTCATTGTTCTTGGTCAAAGGCCAGACCTGGGCCACGTACAGTAATACCGAGAGGGTCTCACACTTTATCACCAGATTTTTCCAGCTCTTTGCAAAAAAGACGGTGACATCATACATATACCTCTGATGCCCTTGTCCCTCCCGATGGCCTGTGCAAAGGGTTCAATGCAGCAGACAAACAGGGTGGGGGATAGGGGACAGCCCTGCCTTACTCCCGACCTAATGGGGAATGGCTCAGTCTCATACCCATTGACTGTGACTGCGCCACAGATGTCCATGTAGAGTAGTCTAATTCACTTGCGTATTCCCTCCCCGAAGCCCATTTTGGAGAGTACCTCATCCTTGTAGCTGTGAGATACCCTATCAAAGGCTTTCTCTTGAGCAAGGCTTATTAGGCAAGCCTTCACTCTCCTGTCAAAACAGTACCCGTTGTCTTTGTTCCTCCGGGTCTGGCCTCCTCCTCGTCCCCTGAATCCTCCGCTCCACCCTTCAGCCACTATGCCCCGAGGCTCTGGAACTGCCTTCCTCACTCCCTTCGTCTTGCTGCCTCCCTTCCCATTTTCAGGATTCTGCTGAAGACCTTTCTTTTCGACCGCGCCTTTGGTCACCTTCCTCCCCTTCCCCGTGGCTCGGTCCCAGGATCTGTTACTGTGAAGCGCTCTGAGACGCCGTCTGACGTGGAGAGCACTATATAAATTCAAGTTGTTGTTGTCCTGCATGTAGGCGATGGTATCCCTGAGTAGCGCAAGGCTGTCTGAGATCCTTCGGCCCGGCAATTCAATTCTTGTGATGCAGCAATTTATGCCCAGTGAATAGCAAGTACAAAACACCTCAACTCAGCTGACAGCTCAACCTGCATGGGTGCACACTTCCCCTTGCAGAGCCTGGTGCAGAATCTCAGTGTTGTCTTTAACTCTCAATTGTTCTTCAGACTCACATCCTTGTTCTGACCCTTTCAGCCATTTTGCCCACCTCCACCATCACCTCTCTCCTTGGGGTATCCACACTTAAGCTGTAAGTTATCCAAAACTCTGCAGCCCATGCTCTTTCCTGTACCAGGCTCATCAACATGTTGGATGACATTGAGGGAGAAGGACTTGGTGTATCTGTTCCAGGCCTCTCTGAGAGTGTTATGGATGATGTTGTGCTACTGATGGACTCACCTGGGGATCCTTCTGCGGTGCAACCGCCATGTTGAACACTGGGCCAGCTGTGGTGGTGGATGCCCCCAAGTGTGGAATTGTAGTTCTGCACACACCAAGGGAACACATCGAGGGAATTGATTGGAAGATACAAGGGGGCATCGGTTTTAATCGTTGACATTTATTGGTACCTCAGGGTTGTGGTGGACACCAGTTTCAATCTGGACACTGTCCTGAGAAATGGCGAAGGGCACTCTGGTCATCCCTCTTCAGGGACAGCAAGGTCCCAATGCAGGTCAAGCTAGTGGCGTACAAGACCTGTGTTCATACAGTCCTCCTTTATGATCTGAGCTCCCGGAGATGCAGCAGAGAGACTTTCTCCGTCCCATTTACAAAGTTCAAGATCAAACAATGAGGTGGATTGTGGTAAACATGGGAAGTGGCTGTAGGAAGGGAGGGCTCCGGCCTACATTGACCTGTCTCTAAGCACCCTGTAGATGCAGTCGACTTCACAGCGGGCACGTCTATTTGCCAAAGCCCCTTGCCTGAGGACTTGGATTAAGCTCAATGGGAAGGGATGAGTACCTGAGCTGCAGACAGGAAGATAGTGGGAATGCTCTCACACATTTCATGCTGAGCGGTGTTGCTCACCGGGAAGCTTGCAGGGAGCTCTTGGTACCTACCATCCACCTAGTGAGGATTTAAACGCCTGCTTGTCGTTTGTCGAACGCCCAACTAGTGACTATCCTCCTGGGGGAAGGTAAGCACGGTCTCTTCAAGCTGAACTGGCTCCAAAGTTTTATGCCTGACATTGGAATGTCGGAATTGAGCCAGCCCTCTGTGACTGTCTCAGTAGTCCTGAGCCAGACAAGTCTGCAGTATTCCAGGCCTCACAGTCAGCCTGGCTCATTGGCAGGACCTGGAAGGGCAGACCAGTCACTGGGGCAGAGAGTCATTCCGCTCAGCTCCTGTTAACCCTTCAAGCCAAAGCACTAAAGGGTAGGGTGGTCCTAGCTGGACAAGCAGCGGGAAAGCTTGCCAGACAGCAATATCAAGGGCAAGCTATGCAATTTTAGCTGGTTAGACTCCAGCAGTACCCCAATGCACACTCTGGGGTCCCCGATCCTTGACTCTTGCCAGCCTGCGACTAATGCTTTCTGGAATTGGGTGAACATAGCAGCTACTTTGTGCATAGCAATATCGCACAAACAGCCATGAAATAAGTGACCAATTTTATTTGGGGGGTTGTCCTTCAGATGAAATGTTAAACCGAGATCTTGTCTCCCTGTTAACATGGATGTTAAAGATCCCATTGCACTATTTGAAAAGAGAAGGGGTGTTTTCTCCCGGTGTCCTGACCAATAGTCTCCCAGATAAAATGTGTCTCTTGACTTCATGGCTGTTTGTGGGAGATTGCTCTGTGCAAATTTGGATGGCACATTCACCTACAAATCCAAGGATTTTTATTAAGTACACCGACAAGTATATGAACAACAACTTGCATTTATATAGTGGTCCTGGTCAGGGAAAGGAAGTGGGGTAGAAAGGAAAGCTGGGGATCAAACCTGAGCCAAAGTTGCATACGTATTTGCTGAGCCTGAGGGAGAGACCAGGGAGGTTGAGGAATTCAGACCCGCAGGAGAGAAGACGTTGACTAGAGCCAAAGAATATGGCTTCCATTGTGCTGACATCCAGCTGTAGGAAATTTGTGCTCATCCGGCCCTTGATGTCTGTCAAACAAGCTGACAGGACACCAGTGGACTGGGAGTCACAACTGAAGGAGAAGTAGATTTGGGTGTCACCAAATCACTCTATGTCTGAGGATGACATCGCTAAGAGGGAGCATGTAAAAAAGAAAAAGGGGGCTAAGGATGGAGCCTTGGGGTACCCAGCAGGTGACCAGGCGGGGGCGGGAGGAAAACCATTTGCCGAGATTTACTGTTGGCGGTTTCTAAAGTAGGACTCAAACCATGCGACTCTGGTCACTTTTTGTAAAGTAAACTAATTTAATCTTGAAATTCAAATATTTTTAGAGTCTCATTCTGCAGTTGTTGAATTAAGATTTTCTTCAATAGTAATTAAATATATCTGCTCTGTGACATGATTGGGTGTTTGGTTGCCATCTTTGTTGACCTTCAACTGTCCTTTCTACCCCATATCAGTGCCATAACCCGTTCTGCCTTCCCCCACCTCTGCAATATCACCCGGTTCCGCCACTGCCTCACCCCTTAGGCGGCAAAAACCCTCATCCACGCATTCAACAACAACATGCACTTATATAGCACCCTCCACCAGAGTAGCGTCTCAGAGCACTTAACAGTGACAGAGCCTAACTCCGAGCCAGGAGGGGGGAGGAGGTGGCCGTAGGTATGGTCAAAAAGGAAGGTTTTCAGACAGGGCTTGAAAAAGGGGAGAGAGGGGGCAAGGTGGAGCGATTGAGGGGGAGCGTTCCAGAGTTTTGGGACGTAGTGGCTGAAACCGCGACCATCGATGATGGGGCGGAGGGTGCGAGGGATGAGCAGGAGGCCAGTGCCAGTCGAGCGGATTGTGGAGTGAGGAGGTCGGAGAGGTAGGGAGGTGCCAGGGAGTGAAGGGATTTGAACACGAGTGTGAGGATCTTGAAGTCGATCTGTTTGGTGATGGGGAGCCAGTGGAGCCTGACCAGAACGGGTGAGATGTGGGTACATAGTTTGGCCCAGGTCAGTATGCAGGCAGCAGAGTTTTGAATGAGCTGGATCTTTTGAATAAGGGGGTGAGGAGTGCGTTTGAGTAATCCAGGCAGGAAGTGACAAACTCATGCACGAGGGTTTCGGCTGCATTTGGTGTAAGGTACGATCGGAGGCGGGCAATTTGGCAGAGGTGAAAGAAGATGGTCCTGGTGAGGGACCGGATGTGGGGGAGGAAGAAAAGCTGGGGGTTGAACCGAACGCCTAGATTGTGCATTGATTCGGTGAGTCTGATAGAGAGCCCAGGGAGGTTGAGCAGTTCAGATCCTCAGGAGTGAAAATGTTGACGGGAGCCAAGGAGTATGGCTTCCGTCTTGTCCATATTCAGTTGCAGGAAAATCGCGCTCATTGCTTTTCTGCCCCCACCATCCATCCCACATTCTCTTTGTATTGCTCCCTCCTTGGCCTCCTTCAAGGTGTATCTCAAGACCGTCCTCTTCGAACGAGCTTTCGGCCATGCTCCTACCCTCCCTGCCCTCCACCCTCCCCAATCCCGAACCCCAGCTGGGGTCCAAATCCCTGACTACCCTGTGCCTTGAGACAACGTCCTCTCGACGTAAAACGCGCTGTGCAAATGTAATTTTGTATTGTATTGACGGGACTGAGAGTTTTGAAAGCTGAATAAGGTAAAATATTCAAGGATTGATAGCTTGCCTGCTGAGCAAACATTCTGATGATTTTTAAAAATTTATTTATATTTTCTCAGGGACTGAATACGGCCTGTAATTCATGACGTATGTACCAGCGAGGAAACACTGAGGCAACCTTTCTGTGATGGGGTTTCGAATTCACTTTGTTTATGACCCACAGGGCTGGTGTTGCATCAGCATAATCTTCTTTGTTTGGCTTTACAATACAATCTTCATTCCCAAACTTATCCTCTACCCTCATTATGAAGAAGGACATATTCCAGGTCTTGTGCTAGCACGTAAGTATCATTGGTTCACGTGGAGATAGAGATTGTTACTGTGATGACTAACTCACTGGGCAAATAATAGACTACAGAACTTGATGGGATACTTCTCCATTTATAAATTGCAGCTTGGTCAGGGTTTCAATGGAACAAAACCAGTGTCTTCATCCGGAGAATGGACTTTTGGTTATGTACACTGTTTGAGTTTCAGGCGTGATTAATCTTTGGGCCTAACCGTAAATCTGAAATGCAAAGATCTTGAACGTGTTGTGCCAATAATTTAGAGATCCGTTCAGATATTGGTTTGACCATGATGTGTTCTGATCTTAAGTTTTCAAGAAAACCTATTTTAGAAGTGAGATTACAACTTGCAATTTCCCAAATGTTTAAACGAGGCTTTTGTAAGTTAGATTTGACATTTGTATTGGAAGTCATTGTGCAGATAATTATGTTTGCAATATATTTAAAATTGAACAGACAAGGATTTCTGCTCCTCAGTGCAATCTGTTCTTGGATTCGTGCCAGCTCAGAGGCAGTACATTGGACAATTTCTTGTAGTGATGTCCAATTTTTAGGACAGTGCAATAGATTTTCTTTTTTCTCGACAATTCCTTATGTCTTCAAGGCAGTTAAATTGTCCTCATTCCCTACCTTTACAATGATGGAAAGCCACCTGGTACCTCGACATGTGTGAACTGAGTCACTGAGTATCTGCAGGATATTCAACCTTAAGAGCAACACTGCTAAGTCCATTCATGACCTCACAGGTTGTTCAGATGTGCGCACCTGCATCAGGGTAATATTCGATAGTGATCAGGACTGGTAACCCTTAAACCAATGTGGTTTTACTTCCTCTTCTTCCACCCACCCTCCCCAGAAAGCCAGGGTGCTGACACCATTTATCTGGTAAAATCGTTCCCCAGATCAAATGGGTGCAGCTAAGCTTAATGTGTGTTGGGTAAATGCCACAACCGTGTTATGTTAATCCAAACTAAGGAAATTTTGAGGGAAACGTGTAATTGTGGGAAATATAAGTCCAAATATTGGAACTATTTGAAACTAAAATGTATGAATGAAAACTAATTTTTTTAAAAATTCTTGTGCTGCTGCTTTTATTCACAGTTTATTACTTGATATCACTCTGCTGTGTGACATCGCTGGTGAGAGCCTCCATCGCTGACCCAGGGCGTCTAGCACCAAACACAGAGATACCCCTTTCAGGTAGGGCACAGAATGAGGCTTGTATACAGAATACGCATGGCCCTGGAGTGGTCCACATTTTGTAACTTAAAACCAATTTGACTTTGATCCAACATTGCCTATCAACTGACACTCAATCCACATGTCCACCAGCCTCTTTCCTTCCCTCTGAATACTAGATTTAGATATTTCATTGTTCATTAATTTATCCAAGGCAATGGACAGTCAGGGATATAAACCCAACCAAGTAGGGGGTTGTAATGAGGAGGGGTGAAGGGCAGGTAGGGTTGGGATAGGAGGGTGGCCGAAGGCGCGGTCAAAGAGGAGTGTCTTGAAACGTGCCTTAAGGAGGCAAGGGAGGGAGCAAGGCGAAGGGGCATTCTAGGTACAGTATTATGTATAACTTTTTTTTATGGTGCGCTCACCAAGCGAACTGTGTTAACTTAAATAGCCCTCACGGCCAGATGAGTTTTGCACCCCTGCTTTAGATACTCCTTCTGCTCGAAATATGCAGAATGATTGCAGCAAGGAAGTGTTTTTCTTTGGTGCATAAAGGCGTACTTTCAACTCACCACTTTATAAATGGACTGGCACAACTGAAATAACCGGATAATTGGACTAAGTAGTTCCTGGTTTGTATGCAAGGCTTCAAATGACAGAATATGAAGTATCTTAAGCCCTGCACTTATGCACAATGTTGCATGAAATATAATACTCAGGCGGGGGCATAGACTATAAGACAGCAGCTGTGTGTGGACATAGTCCAGAACACTGGAGCTCATCGGATGTAATTTTAAACCAACGGAGAGTAGGCACTATTCCAGTATAACAGGATGATAATGGAGTGTGCAATGATACATTTGGCACATAAATAATAATTCATTGTGAACAGTTCAGCTATATTTAAAATGTTGAAACATTTCTTCCAGCAAAATATTTTACATTATCCCTTGCCTTAAAATATTTACTGTAAAAATAACTAATGCTCCAATTTGATCAATGGAAATACTTGCACAGTTCAAGTCCAGAATCGGGGATTTTGGGATCATGGTCTCGGCTAACAATCCAGTGTGTTCGGGTATCGCTGCATTGTTGGAAATGCTGTCCTGTGGATGAAATATTAAACCGTTGTTCTGCCTAATTGTTCATTTGCACACAAATTACACAGTCAAGCCACTTTACAATATATTGCATGGTAAGGCGCGATATAAAAAGCTATTATTATCATCGTCATTATTCACCTTCTGATTATTTGTGGGTCATTGCTTTGCCCCAAATTGACTGCTGTGTTTGCCTATTACGCAGTCACTACATTTTACAGAAAGTATAAAGCACTTCTTGGAAGCAGTTTAATTATTTATTTTACTTGTGTAAATTGTATCAAAACCTTCTGGTGTGTGTGTGTGTGGGGGGGGGGGGGTGGTGATTGTGTTTGAGGGTGGGGGTGTGTGTGGGGGGTGAGTGGGGGTGGGAGTGTGGGGATGGGGGTATGAGAGTGTGGGGGTGTGGGGGTGGTGGTGTTTGTGTGTGGAGGGATGAGAGTGTGTGTGTGGGGAGTGTGTGTGGGGGAGTGGGGTTAGGTATGTGTGGGGGTGGGGGTGTGTATGTGTGGGGGGGCTGTGTATATGTGTGTGTGTTTGTGTGGGGTTGGGTGCAGGGTGTTTGTGTGTGGAGATGGTTGTGAGTGTGGGGATGGGTGTGTGTGCGTGATGGGGGTGGGTGTGTGTGTGGGGGGAGAGTGGGTGTGTGTGGGGTTGGGACTGGGTGTGTGTGGGGGTAGGTGTGGGGAGGTCGGTGGGCGTTGGGGGTGTGTGCGGGAGGGGATGAGGGTGTGTAGGGGTTTGTGGGGTGTGGAGGTGGGTGTCTAGGGTTGGCGGGATGTGTGGGGTGTGTATGTGTGGGGTTTGGGTGTAAGTGGGGGTGGTGGTTGTGTGGGGGTGGGGGTGTATGGGGGGTGTGTGTGTGGGGGTGGGGGTGATGGGTGTGTGTGTGGGGTGGTGGGTGTGTGTGTGGGGGGTGTTTGGGTGTGTGTGGGGGTGTGTGTGTGTGCCTCATAGGCCTTCCCAAATCTTCCCTTCACAAGCTGCAGATCATCCAAAACTCTGCAGCTCGTGTATTCTCACGCACCAGGCTCCGTGACCCCATCACCCCCACCCTCGCCCAACTCCACTGGCTCTTCATCCCTCAGAAGTTCGAATTCAAGATCCTCATCCTCACTTTCAAGGCCATCCATGGCCTTGCCCCCTCCTACCTAGTGCATGCATATTTTATACAAATAAAGGAATGCAGAGTGTTTTTATCTTTCACTATTACATAATAGCTGTATTATGGAAATGGAATGTAAATTAATCTCCATAACTTTGTTTGGATTGCACCATCATTTAGAAAGGGTAAACTAATCCTCTGACATTCAGTGAAATAAAACCATGATTTCACTTTAATGCAAATGTATTGATAGAACAGCATCCTAGTTCAAAATGCAGGAGGCTTCCATCTGTTCACGCTGATACAGTGCAGATTGAGGAAGGGGGATGGTGGGGAGGTGGAATGTTTGGTGTCCAGTCAGGTTTGAGTAAGAACCATTTCCCCTTTCTCACTGACTCCTGAATAATAGCTCACTTGGATAAGTAAACACTTCTGTAGCATGCGGAGGGTTAAGCTAAATAATGATATAGAGAATTCCTTCAGGTACCAACTTCCCAACGCCTTTCACGTTGGAACATCCCAACGCCTTTCACGTTGGGACATTCTCCCAACGTGAAAGGCGCTTTACAAATGTAATTTTGTATTGTATTGCTTATGCCTGATGTAACCTGGAATAATTCGAGCTGGGCTTGGATGCATTGAAATAAGTGAGAAACGAGGCTTCCAAGTTGCTTGGTGACATCTCAACTTGGTGGAAGGTATTCAATTGGGAACCTTGGACAAAGGAATTCAGTGAGTAGAGAAGAGTAGTGTTGGGAATTTTATGAAGAAACTGCAAGCTATTATTAATAATAATAAGAATAATAATACTGTACTTACATTTGATGTAGTGCCTTTCATGTCAGGAAGACGTCCCAAAGCGCTTCACAGGATAAAAATTAAACTTCTTAGTGAACAGGGAGGAGGACTCTTTAGTGCACATCTCTATCTTGAATATCATATTTATGAATTGCAGGTAAGATTTTATTTCTACTGCCTGAGGCATTGTGCATTCCTGAGTATGACAGCTCAGATCTGTTTAATTTGCTGTGAAGTGAAGGTTGCAGAAGGTGCTTTTACATATCATTAGATGATTTTCGATTGTCACGTAAGAGATGATATTGAGAAATTTGAGTCACTGAATTAGTAAAATAACAGGTTAATACTTCCTGTTACATTCTTGAAAACATTTGTGAAAAGACACCGTGATAATTATCGCTTTCTATTTTTATTTCCAAACCTCAATTGATCGCAAAACCATTAATGACTTCAGTAACAAAACACTCCAATGTGATACAGCATTAAGCAGATATTTTCATATTCTATCACTGATGAGAAATATCTTTCTCTGTCTGATCCCCCAATTTGTGTTAACCCTATTTAACTGCCTTTCTCTCACCCCCATGATTTTAGAAGTCTTCTATAGTGTAGAAGGAGAGTCCGCACTGGCTCCCAGAGCAAGGAGATGAAATCAGAAACCACCCCATCTTATCCCCCACAAGACCCTTTCTTTTTAATGAACCTGTCTACTTCCTTCCTGAAACCTACACCACCCTACTCGTATTCCATTTCCCAGCAACTCTGGGTGAAAAAAATCCTCTTGAGTTCTTCTATTTACCCTGTCATGACCTTCATAGCTTATTTCTTTGTGATACTGCTTGAGTTTATTTTTTTTAGTGGTTCTCGCTTTGTGGAATATTGCTGTATGCAAATGGGTATCACATTCAATTGCAATTACCCAGTCACTACACTTTACAGTAAATCCTGTGAATCACTTTGAGACATTCTCCCAATGTGAAAGGCCTATACTAAATGCAAGGATGTTTATGATTTGCAGTGGGCCATTGTAATTGTAAATGCAGGACAACCTTATGAGGTCAGTTATACTGGGTAATGCGCTGCAGAGGACACTGCTGTGTCTGGCAGTACTCAATGCTATTTGTAATGTTCCCGAAATCTCTGCTTGTTCAGCAGCGATTAAGCTGTTCAGAAATAGAAACTGAGCATACTTTTATGTGCATCTCTGGCTAGTGCCTTACTGTTGTGTTTTCCCTGGCCATGTATAGTACAGAACTATTCATCATTTTCTCGAGCAGCGGCAGGGGAGAAGCATGTGGTATGTGGAGTGGTTCTGTCTCTTCAATGACTCTTTGTTGTGAGTGCGGCAACCAAAATGGTAGGGAGGAAGTGTTCTCATTTTGATGGCAATTTTTAATCTTTTCTGATGATTACTGTTGCTTTTACCAACCAGGGAAAAGTAACCTTCAAAGACTGTTACTGTCTGAGAAATGCTTGACCAGGAATCCAAGTCAGGAGACCAGAGGCCTGACATTTTTCCTAGTCTTAGCCCATTTTACTTTGGCTCTAAAAAAAACTGCTTCAAAATTAAAACTGAATTTAAGAATTTTCCACAAGTAAGATGAAATAGTCTGACAGGCTAAGACTAGGTGTAATTTCAATGTTCTATGATGAAAGTTTGTTAATATTTCTACTCATCAGTATTGGATCAAATTCAGGCATAAAGAAATGAGAAACGCAGTGAATTTGGTGTGTTCTAAATACTGAAGATTGTACAGTATAAGAATAATGCTTTCATTTGATAAAACCCCTTATGTTGACACATCTTGCAGTGTTTTACAGTCATCACTAAATATTTGTGATGATCACAGCCAACTAACACACAGCAATGTCTTACAAATGACAGGGAGGTGAATGAGCAATTTAACTGGAAAATTGTTGGCCAGGATACAGGGTGGGGTGGGGGCGGGGAGAGAATCCCTGCTCTTTTTGACCAATGCTACAACTTTTCATGCATTTACTGTCCAGTTGAGCAGCCA